GGAAAGATCCTTTGAATTTAATTTACTAATGTAATTCAACGAATAGTTATGCCTTCTACCAGGGATAGTGAGTATAATTTTAAAACAGGTTGTTTCATTCTTAACAATTAGCACTTGGCTTTCAGTGTCTCTTCCTACCTAACCCAAGTTCCTGATTTCAGTGCTTCCCACCTTTTTCATGCCATTCTACAAATAAAAAATAACTGTAAGGCATAGTGGTGTAAGCAAATGAGTCTACCGTACAGGAAGTACACAGTCCTGAACCCCGCCCCACCTCCTAGGATCCATTCAAGGCATACATGTAATCTATATACATCATTCCAGTGTTCATGACATACTGGTCAAGGTACGGTACCCTATATGACTTCTTAGAACCATCCAGGATCTGGCCCTACGGTATTTAGCCAAACCAATTTTCAGTGCTTCCAGCAATCCTCTGAATATTTTGGGTCCTTAAAGCCCCTCTGATGAAGTAGCAAAAGGTGTTTGAATGAAGTAATGCTAGGTCAGAGCTTACTACTACTATAAGCTATTCTTATGCACTGTCATTTTGACTTAGTTATGTCCATGAGAGATGAAGAAAACTGAGTTATCCTCAAAATGGCTGTTGTATGGGGATTAAGCTGAGATATGGGGATTATCATTGTAGTCTTTCTCAGAATTCCTTTATTTGAAAAATCCACTTGATTTTAGTTTCTGAAATTTGTCCTTAATTATATAAAGTTTAGTTAAGCTACAAACAGGTAAACATATGAAAAAATTTTGAAAGAAAAAAGTATCTTACCAATTTATTAATGGAAAGCAAATACTCTTTTCTGGAGCAGATTAAAGAAGTGGTCTTACAAGGCTAACTGCTGAGTCCTTGGCAAGTATATGCCTTGTGCTTGAGACCCGACATTTTATATTAAATCTTACAGCTGATAAATTTGTGTTCTTGTAATTGCATATTGTATCCAAGTGAAAAATTTATTTGGACATAATTTTATATCATTAATAATTTATTTTATAATTAATTTTGCCTATTCAGCTGTCTAAGGATGATAATTTCTTCTATTTCAGAGTAAGCTGATTATAAAATTACAACTATGATAAACTTGCTATAATTGAAGAAAATGAGTTTGGACAATTTTTAAATTTCTGAGGAGCGAAATACTTCTTAATTACTATAATTAAAGGATAAAGTTTATTCAAATACTTTATGTTGTTAATAGTACTTTTTAAATTATGTCAGTATAAGCTTTTGAAAAGAAAATATCCCATTCAAAATATGAATGGAAAAGAGGGAGTTATGCCTAAAAGCACAATACTGAATATCTAAATACTATCATTAGCTAAATGTGATAAAATTCCAATTTTTCTTTTAAAATGAGTTTAACATTTGCCAGTTTTCAACAGAAAGAAATGATTTCTTTGAAAGGTGATTTTAAATGTTCAATCAGCTGAAGTAATGGCATGGTTATTTTTCTTCTTTATCTTTGTATAGAATAGATAAAGATGCGGAAGACAAAAGACAAAAAGCCATTGAAGAGGTAACTTAAAACTGTTACTGATCATTAAACCAGTTAAGCGTCAATTCCTTCAATTCCGCATGCATGTCACCTCTTTTAGGAGGACCTCCTTCAAATCCTTTACTGTTCTAGCTTCTCACCAGCCTGCCCGTCCCCAGCTGTATGAGAGCCCTTCTGCTCCCATAAGACCAATGTCTCAGCTAGTTTGGCACCTCTTGTAGTACTTACTTATATACTATTATTGTAATGATCGATTTAGTGCTTTTCCATGCTAGACTGAACTCTTTTCTGGATATTGTGTTTCATTCATCTTCTCATTCTCAAGGTCTACCACAGTTTGTCTTTCTTTTGTCTTCAGATTATCAGTTAGCACAACTGTTTCAGGTTGGAGTTTATGTAAAGGAAGTTGAATATTTTCAGATCTTGAAAATCTAGATTGGCATTGGTAATGGTGTTGTTGTTGTTAATACTTCAGATTTTTAAAACTGTATCGTGAACTAAATTGTTTTATGGATACAGAGAAAAAGTATATAGGATATTTTTAAAAATAAAAATAACGAACTAAGTTTTTCACATTTGCTTCTTTGTTTGCTTAATTCTTAGAGTGCCAGGAAGGGTTATGTAGTTATTTCCTCAGAAACTCTTTACATCATGGCAACATTTCTTATTTTCTTTTTTGCTTCACTAGCCCCCTCTACCCACCTGTATTCCTTAGTAATACTTGTTTCTTCTGCACCTCAAAAGACTTCAGCTATGGCATGTTCTGAGATCAGGCAATGCTCGGGCCCCTCCTGCACTTGTTTTTTGGTGTCAGTGTTGTCATCTGGTATTTCAGATACAGCCTATTTCTTCAAAAATAGTTTCATATGTTTTACTGTAAACATTGTCTACTTCTTAGTCTACCTAGTAATTTAAAGTTTTCATTCTAATCCAATCACTTGATTCCTCCCTAGTTGAATAAATAGTCTCAGAATGTTTTCCATTTCCTAACATTTTGGAAAATATGCTTTCTCTTTAGAATCCTCAACATTAAAGGGAAGTTTAGCAGAAAACTTAAGAAAATGATGTCAGCGTGAAGATTAGAGTCAATGTATCAGAAACAAATTTTTATGTGTGTGTGTGTGTGTGTGTATATATATATGTGTGTGTATATAAAACATCTGAAAATAAAATAAATACATGCACATAATAAAAACAAAAAAAAGTTCAAACTGCAAAGAAAAAATATCAAATGAAAATGAGGAGTCTCTGTTCCTCCATCCCACTTCTTTAAAGTAACTACTGTAACATTTATACTTTCAGATTAATTTTATGTGTGTAATAGCTTGTGTCCTTTAAATATTTTACTCGAATAGGTTATCATTCTTATACTATTTTGCATCTTTTTTTTTTTTTGCTTAATAATTTTTCTTAGATTTTTTTATTATTAGCACATACTGATTATTAGCAATACCATACTATTTCATTGTCTGACTGTATCATAATCTAACCCAGCTGCTATTGATCGATGTTTAGGTTGTGTTCAGTCTTCTTCTATCACAAATAATGCTTCAGTGAACACACTTGTACAGATATCTTTTTGTAATTAAAATGGACTTGCTAAATCAGAGGCTTTGTGATTTCAGTTTTGGCAAATTTTGCCATCTTGTCCTCCCAAAAGGATGTACCAATTTTTACCCTTGACTACGTTATGATACTTAATGTTTTCTCATATCTGCAATAATGGTTATTAACAAACTTCTTAATTTGTGCTACTCTTATTATCTTAAGAGTTTATCTCGTTATTTGGATTTGTGTGTCTTTCATTTTGAATGAACTTATACATGGCTTCATAAGTTTATGGGTCCTTTATATTTTTTTCTGGGAATTGTCTATATCGTAATCTCTGCTCCACTCCCTATTTTTTTACATCTTTCCTCATGCATTCATTTGTAGTTTAGTCAAGGAAATGAGTTCTTTGTTATAGGTATAGCAAAATATTTTTTAAAAATGTTTTTAATTGCCCCCAAAACATGTAAAGAGAAGGGAAGAAGGCTGATTTAGGCTTAATCTTATATCTAGAATAAAAGAGGAAAAACAATATCCAAATGCTCTATCTCCATTTGATTATACTGCCAGTGGTGTGCTAGTAAATGTTTAAAAGCTGGCCCTCTGATTGTGGGGAGAGTATGAGTTTTAGTGCTTGCTGCTATCCATGATGTAAATATTCCAGCCGGGGGCAATTTCAAGTTTCTAAAATGGCATAACTAAATAGGAAAAGAAGTGTAGTGGTACATTATTATATGTAGGAGTTCCACCATAAGATACAAAAGATGTAATTAACCTCAATAGCATAGATATTGGTAAATGTAGTAAAATAACTAACAAGGGATGATTTTGAGTATTTTTTAAATTTATTTAATTATAAGTTGTATATAATTTTATTTTTCATATTGGCTTTGCCCCAAATTCCTGAAAACTTAATAGTTAGATCTTGAGGCCCAATACAAGCCAGCTCTAGCCCCTGTTCATACTGGCTTACTTGTGTATATGTATCTCTATTTATTCCTTCCCTCTTTGTGCTCCCTTTTGTCATCCCTCAGTGCCACGTGCCCCCCCCCCAAAAAAAAATTGGGGAAAAGTAAAAATATTTTCTCTAGGTTAATGCCCTTAGCTTAATATGCAGCTTTCACATTGGAGTGGTTGGTTGATTTCTTTTTACATGTACTTTAAATTTCTTCCATTTCACCTTTGGTCATTTGTGCTTTTAAGTATTAAACTTTTTAAACCTATAAAGTTAGTATATAACATGTTTGATGGTTATTTGAAAATAACAGGTACCTTTTCATATTTTGGGGGGAGTTTATACCTAATTGTATGACTTTAATTTTCCTAGTTTTTCACTAAGGATGTCATTGTGCCCTCTCCTTGGACTGATCATGAAGGGAAACAGCTTTCAGAGTATCATTCCAGTAAATGTGAGTATACAAAAGATCATCTGAATAAAAGTCAGAAAATTATAAATCAGTGAATGTAAAACAACATATAGTGAGGTGTCAGTTTATGTGCTTTGGTAAAGGTGTTGATATAAATGAAATTTCTGGGTACTAGAGAGTTAACTATTTAAAGGTTAGGATTCAAAATTTGACTACAGTGTACTGAATTCATTTTTTTTGGCCATTCTATTCTGAATTTAACTTTTTCTTCATGAACATTGTGAATAGCATTTATAAATGGTGGTTATAGAGCACCCATAGTTGCAGAAATAGTATTGAATATAGAACTGAGTTGTTAATGATTTTTGCAGTGATATTGAAGGTTAATTTTTTAAATGAAATTCTTAAATTGCTTTGTTTTTGCTAATTTGCTGATTTCTTATAAAGGTAGAGGAAGGACACTTGATTTCTAGGACAGTAATACAGCTGATTATCTGCAAAATTAATAAGGAAATCGAAGGACAAGCCAATAATCTTTAAAGTATTTTTCTACCTCCAGGAAGTGGTTACCTTATATTTGCTCTTACTGTCCTTTGGGTTGTGAGCAATGTTCAAATATCACTTGTATATATGCATCCCTCATTTCAGTGGAATTACCCACTCTTCTGTGTAGCATACATTAATTATGCTCTCAATATAAGAGAATATTTGTTCCATTCTTTATCCAAAAATAAAAAACCATAACAATAATAGGTAAATGGATTGAGTACTCAACATGCTCCAGGACAGTGCTAAGTGCTTTCAGTAATTCCTTAAAACAGCTCGTATGAGGTAGGTGCTATTATTGGCCCCATTTTATAGGTGAGAAAACCTCATTTTAGAAAGGTTAAAGCCCTTGCTCAGGATTACAGAGATGACAAAAGTGGTAAAACATGGAGTCAAAACTAGGCATTCTCAGTTCAGATTCTGTATTCTTAGCCTTTTCAACCTAAAGTAGCGTGCAGTAGTGGATGCAGACCTGGGTTGCAGACCTCCTGCTATTATAAACCAGAAAGGGTACTCGATCAAATTATTCAATCTCCTTAGACTTCAGTTTTTTATTTGTAAAATAAAGGAGTTGAACTGCATGGTGTCTTAACATCCCTTCCAGCTCTAAAATTCTATATCCAAGGTGACATTTTCTTAGATGCTAGTTTTTCTCCCAAATTCTTTAATTTTTGATTTTTGAACAGATGAATCAACCTTCTTATGTGATCTTTTTTATAAAATAATTTCATATACCAAATATCTTATTTCAGTTACAGTGGTACGGGATCAGGAAAATGCTAAAAATACGACAGCCTCTTTGATAAACTAGTCCAGCCCATGATGACAAGAGTGCAGCAGTTGATAGGGTGGGCTCCAGGACTGTGCTGTCTAGTCTGGTGTTAGGAGAATTCTCCATGGTCTCGAATTACTGCACGTCAAGTGAGGAGTGGCTCACATTGCCTTTTTTTTCCAAACTATCTTTTCAAGGATATTTGTGGACATCCTTAGAAGATAAAGCTAATGTGTCCCTCCAGAGCAGAGAGGGTTTTGTGTCTTCCTCTGGAGCAAGTTTGCTTGCAGCTTACTGTAAAAGAATGGGATTTCCTAAGCTCAGGGTTCTTGAGCTGTGCTGAAAACCTACTGCGTGAGCCACATCCACCTGGGCTGTTCTATGTCACTTCCTTGGAGCTTAGGGGCAAAGGAAACCGATGTGAACATGGAGCTCTCGCTTCTTGTGCTAGGAGTAGTGAAGTCCTTTGTCTTTGACTCAGGAGTCTTATGTCTTCAACCAGCATCCATGGAATGTTGACACCACTAACTTGTCAGCTTGCAAGTGGGTAAAATCTCAGACCTTTCACAATTCTTGACATATGGTAGCCACTAACCAAATGTGACTTTTTAAAATTAAATAAATTTAAATTAAACATTTAGATACCTAGTCACACTATTAACATTTCATGTTTAAGGTGTTTGGACTCTATGTAGCCTAAAGACCTAGGGACATTTTAGCCTCAGAGTGTGTTGATTACATTTGCCTTATAGTAGGTCGTGCTGCCTACAGCAAAGAAGGCATTTGAATCTAGAATTTGATTTCTTTTCTTACCCATTCTGATAGTATTTAATAAAAGACTTTAACTCATTCACCCACCCCACCCACTTAACCCAGTCATTCATCCATTTATTTATTAAGTTTATTAGATTACTGGTCTTTATTCTGTTATTTTAAAAAGTCTCCTTACTTTTGCCTTCTTTTAATTTTGCTTATGTTAATCATTTTTGTCATTGTATGTTTTAGTTGTTTTATCTTGTGACTTTCAAGTTATGAACCTTAATATTTAGTCATTAACTTTCAATTTTTAATAAAATTATTTGCAGCTATATTTTTAACTCTTGCTATGAAAAAAACAGCATGGTTTTATTTACCAAATTTTAGGTTTTGTCAAGATCATCTGGTGTTTTAATTCAGACAATTTAAACCCATTTTTCAAAAATATTAAGTGACAGAGGATCTGTTAAGGACACTGAGGATGGCTAACATGCATCTTAACCTTTTAAGGTTTACAACATGGAGAGCAACCATACTTTCCTTAAAAAGTATTACTTGGTGCCTCCTTGTCTGCTATACAGTAGTAATCTTTCAAGTTTTATCTTTGTGCTACTTCAAAATTTAAAAAAATAATTAAATAAACATAACAGAAATTTGCCAACATATACTTACATGTACAGACTTTTTTTTTCATTTATTTTTTAAATGTAAAATAAAAGTTTCCACTTTGTTCAGTTTTTTTGTTTGTTTGTTTGTTTTTTAACTCTGGAAAAGTTACCATAAAGTAAATGAAGAATATAAAATGTAAGATTTTCATTTAAAATGTTTTAACAGGTATTAATGTAAGTAATGAATCTCCAGTTGGAAGAAAGCTGACCATCTATTCTGAGAAAAGCAATGGTGAGTATGAATATAATCTGGAAAGGGGTATGTTCCACAATAAGCTATGTTTAATTTTAAATTCAGTTCGTGTGATAACACTTTACTCTGGAATTGAAATTATTTTTTATGAATGTATTAGACCTGACTTTTAAAAACAATTACATACATCCAGTCATGTTTTAGAAATAGCAGTGTTGTGTTGTTTTCTTAGTCAAAGCATAGAGGTTGATTTCTGGATTTGGAAAACATTTTTTTGAGAATTTGTTAATATTAGGCAATCTATCCCCAAATATAGACTGGCTTATTTTTTGATCCAAGTGCCAGCAGAAACACCAGGAGTTTACATCAGTGCTGGAAAGTGTGGGAAACCATTTGTAGGAAGGTGACATATTATGTAGTGGAATGCATAAATGAAATAATTCAGCTTCACTGGAACCTCATGGGGAGGTGTTTGGGAAGCACATGCTAAATTGCATGTAATTTGCTTGCATTGATTTAATCCATGTTTGTATTTTTTTATCTGCTTGCTTCTAGCTGCTTGTCAGACATTGCTGTCTCTTCCTGTAGATTTTAATTTAGAGAATATATTAGGTAAGTTGCATTTATCTTTAATAATTTAAACAAAAGGTTTTGTTTTGATGGCTTTTTGTAAATGGAAATATGTGGTAATGCCTCTTTCTAAAGAAATGAAACCATCCTGAAATTATCATAATGAACTTTACTATAGATGTAAACTACTTATGGTCACATCTTATTGGTATCACCTATACTAATAATGAAGCAGTCAAAAAGAATAATTTCGGACTTCAAATATCACATACACCATTAAACACTGGCCTCTTTTTTGAAAACAATTCAGACAGATTGTGCATGGTGGTTTTTTAAAAATCAGATAACTGAAGTATAATTATTCTTCAAAATGACTAGCTTTGCCTTCTATTTTGTTAACTTTAAATGTAGGTGACTATTTTAGAGCTGATGAATTTGCAGATCAATCTCCTGGCAACCTCAGTTCTTCATCCCTCCGAAGAAAGCTATTTTTAGATGGCAACGGAAGTATCTCTGACTCCTTACCTCCAGCTTCTCCCAAAAGTCCTCGCACTGGTGCTCAAGCATCACTTGAGGTTTTTTATTCAATAGATTTATCTCCTGTACGGTGTAGGAGCCCTGTGCAGACACCAAGTTCGGTAAGAAGTATATTAAAAGTGGCTGGTTAGTTTGCTGTGGATGTACTTAGACCTTGATGCTTATATTACACTCAAGAGAAATAGTTGCCTTCTGACTTTTATATTTCATGAGGATTAAATCAGTGTACATTTTATCATTAGTCAAGAATGTTTTTGGTCTGTCCAATTTTGCATTTAGAAGTATGCAGGATAACCAAATTTGTCATGTATCTCAAGGAGTTTCAGTGAAAATTATTTACTGAATTATATAGTTTTTTTAGTATAACACAACTGGATTGGCATTAATGGAGTAATTTAATTTAAAACTTTTCATAAACAGCTGCTTAATATGAAATATAATGGTTTGTTTAAACACAGTGCATTTATACTTTGTTTTGACTAGTGTATTCTGTTTCAAAAATTTTGTAGTAATCATAGCTGTCCTTGTTATAAGATGTCTTGACTTTTAGCATCTTTCCTTTGAAGAATGACCAGAGTTCATATGATCAACTTTATAAATGTGTTTTGAAGATAAAGATAAATAGCATATGGAATAACAGAGTTGTGGAAGAGAACTGTATCACTCTATTATTTATTTATTTATTTATTTACATATTTATTTATTATTTTTATCATAGGGGCAGTTTTCTTCTAGCCCTATTCAGGGCAGCGCAAAAAAATACAGTTTGGGAAGTATAACCAGCCCTTCACCTATTTCTTCACCCACTTTCTCACCAGTTGCTTTTCAAATAGGAAAGACACCACTCTCAGGTATGTCTCATAACAAAATACCTAATTTAAATTTTTACAGCATCAATATTTGTTACCAAAGAGGCTTCTTTTTAGCTTGTTCTAACGATAGAGCTCTAATCTATGGCCATACCACCCTGAACAAGCCCAATCCCGTCTGATCGCAGAAGCGAAGCAGGGTTGGGTCTGGTTAGTACTTGGATGGGAGACCACCTAGGAAGACCAGGTGCTGTAGGCGTAAAAAATAAAAAATAAGCAATTGTAAGCTGACAAGGTCCTTGCAATCTGTGAGGTCAACCAAGGGTTGCCTCAAAAAAAAAAAAAATAAAAAAATAAAATAACTATAGAGCTCTATGACCACTAACCTTTTAAAATTTAGAAACTTTTTTTTTTTTTTTTTTTTAAAAAAGGAACAGTTTACCTTCAAAAACTGAAATTCTTGGCAAAGTTAAATACAGGTAATTTGATCAGCAATATATTATGTCAAACATGCTTATAAACAGAATCAAAGAGAGATTTCAATTTTAGAGATAAGTTGGTTTTAGTATCCTTTTTTTTTTTTTTTTTTGCTTCTGACCTAGAGGTTCACACTTTGTTAATTGGATATTCGTACTTTGTAAATATGTATTTGAGTAAGATTTTTAAAGCAAATAGAGTGTGTTGAAATTTATGTATTTCTCTTTGCAATATGTCAGTCTCTGAAAATTATAGCACTTTTTGAAAATTACATAATAAAAACTATTCATACTTGAGAAAATTGGAAAACTGAAAATGGTATTTGTGTGTGTGTGTGTGTGTGTGTGTGTGTGTGTGTGTGTGTGTCTCATCCACATGAAGAGATACACACATACACACACAGTTATATATCCTGCTTTTTTACAAAGCATTTTATTAGGAGTATTTTCATAGGTCGTTCAAGTCATTTATTGTTTGAAACCATGATTTTGAATCAGTACGTGTTATTTCATTACATGGATATATCATTTGCTATCAACCATTGATAAACGTTTAAATTGTTTCTAATTTTTTAAATCACATATCTAATGATTATATCTGTGTGTACATTGTGTTGTATGTATTTATATCCTTGGTTAAATTCCCAGAAGTGGATTTGGTCAAAAGCGGTGAATGTTTTTAAGGCTTGATGAATTTTATCAAATTTTCTTCATAAAAGGTTGCAACAATTGAAATTTTCATCAGTAATATATAGGAAAGTGAGTTTCTCCCAACCCAGAAACACTGGTGTTATCATTCTTTTTGCATTTTCTTAATTTAGTAAATTATAAAAAAAGATTCCCTTACTGCTTTAATTTTTGTATCTGATTATTATGATGTTGAATTCTTTCTGAATGTTTATTGGTTATTTTAGAGTGGGGGATTATTAGTTCAGACTTCAATGTTTTGTTAAACAAATGGTCTCTCATTGCTTTAACTTCCATATTTTTTATTGTTTGTATAGCTGAATACACTTTATGTATTTATTTACCATTGGAAGGATTGTTTCTGTGCTTTTACCCATCTTTTTAAAACCTTTTGTTTAAGCCAATGAAGTTATAAAAACTATTAAGTTTTAAAGCATTTTTCTCATTTTGATTATCATTGTTAAGCTCTTTATTATTGCAAATATTACTTTACAGTTTTTTGTTTGCCTGTTAATGTTGCTTATTGCATTTTGCATAAACACAGATTTTTACATAAGCAGTCCCCCTTATCTGCAGGGATATGCTCCAAGACCCCAGTGGATGTCTGAAACTGTGGGTAGTACTAAACCCTATATACTATATTTTTCTATACATACGTACATACCTATGATAAAGTTTGATTTACAAATTAAGCACAGTAAGAGATTAACAACAACAATAATAAAATAGAACAATTGTAACAAATACACTAGTAAAAGTTATGTGAATGTGCTCTCACTCATAACTGAGACAACTGCTAAGTGACTAATGGGCAGGTAAGCTATACGGAGTGGACACGCCGGACAAAGGAATGGTTCATGTCCTGGGTGTGACAGAGCAGAACAGCATGAGATATCATAATGCTGCTCAGAACGGCAAGAAATTTAAAACTTGTGAATTGTTTATTTCTGGAATTTTCCATTTAATGTTTTTGGACTGTAGTTGACTGTGGGTAACTAAAACAGCAGAAAGTAAAACTGTGGATAAGGGTAGGGGCTACAGTATTTCATTTATCCGGTTATAGCTATTAATTTGTAGCTGTCAGCTGATTTGTCCAGTTTCTTCTTTGTATATGAACAATATTGTTATAGTAGCAATGTGCTTGTGAAGAAATAATTCTCAGGGAGTATTTTGTTTAATTAACAAGGGAAAGTACCAGAGGAATTATTTTTTTAAGAGCTTCATCTTTTTGAGACACATTCATTTGTACTATTGTTTTTAACACTAAAATTTTACTTCAGTAAACAGCATAACTATTATAGAAATTCATTTTTTTCTGTCATGAAATATGATTACCATTTATTGATGGCTTATCCATTTTTGTGTTTTACGATGTAATTTTTCCTTTCCATCTTTTAGAACAAAAGAAGTTTACTTTGCCTTCTGATGTTTCGTCTGGAATAAATTCTAATGGAATTACTAATCCGTGTATCAGAAGTCCTTACATAGATGGCTGCTCACCAATTAAAAACTGGTCTCCTATGAGACTTGAGATGTGTAGAGGCGGTACTCAGTATCGGACCTCACTGATTCGGATACCTTTTACTCTTGAGGCTCACAGTGAAGATGAAGAAGATAAAGCAAATATGTTTTCCAGAGATGCCTTATCATCCGCCATGGACACTACTGGAGTCCCTCAGAGGCAGCTGGGTAGTGACGCTTCTCCACATGGCACACATTTAGTAGTGACTGCCATGTCTGTTACACAGACTCAGTCCAGTGCTTCTGCAAAAGACCTAGCACTGCTGCAGGATGTGGAAAGTGAGAGGGAAAATAACACTGTGGATATGGTTGATCCTGTAGAGATAGCAGATGAGAACACATGGATTAAGGAGCCGATTGATAATGGGAGTTTACCCGTGACCGATTCTGTGAGTGGGATTGCTTTCAGTATGGAAAACTCTCAAATGTGCATGTCACCTCTTGCAGAAAGCAGTGTCATTCCTTGTGAAAGCAGTAACAATCAGGTAAAGTATTTTAATATTCTGTCATCCTTTACTTGCTCCCTTGATGTTCTTTATCCTTTCTTATCCAAGATTATGGTAAGAGAAAATGCATTAAATGTGAGGACTATTGTATTATATGTATTTTTAATATCAATCAATACTAGGCAATATCAAGCAGTTTAGTTTCTTGTAATTTGGACTCAATGCATATTTAATATTCACATTAACTGATAATTATTTGGAGTAGGAGAAGATGAGAGCAGAAAAGAAATCAAGCTGCTCTGGTTCTACCTACTGCTAGAGTCAGGTACCTTCTCAGGATTCCTGTCTTTCATGTGGAGTTAGTGCTTAAGGAATTTAATTTCTGGTATAGTTTATGTATTCTAAAAGTACAGTAATTTTGTTTTTTCCTTTATATGATTTAGGGAGAACAACTGAGTTTAGAGCACTTTTATGTATTTTTTTGTACTTTAAAAAAATATGATTTTATAACCGACATTTTTCATGTATTTAAACATTCCTAATTTGCAATATCTGGCAAGAGGAAAGCATGATTCATTTGACAGAACTACTTCATAGCCAGCACTCCCTTTCAGGAAGACATTTGTTTAATTCATTGACATATTCTTTGAGCTGAGAATTTTGAAAGAAATTTAAAATATTCAGAATGCAATCCTTACCTGCCATTTCATAGTAAAAATATATAATGTTCATTTAGCTCTACCTATATGCCAGGAGTTATTCTGAGTACTCTGTGTTAATTTGTTTAATCTTCACAACAATCCTGTGAAATAGGTGTATGTGTACTATTATCCCCATTTTACAGATGAGGAAACTGAAGGTCAGAAAGGTGAAGTAAATTGCCTATATTTAGCTAGTAAGTGGTGGAGCCAAAATTTGAATCCTGGCAGTCTAGCTTTAGAGTCCATGTTCTTTAGTCCAAGTTTATACTGACTCATAGTAATAGCCAATACTTAGATGGTGTTTCATTGTGCCAGGCACTCTTCTAACTACTATATATGTATATACTATATATATTTTCATTTAATTCTCACAACAACCCTAAAATACTTTAGTTTTATCCATTTTAAACTCATGGAGTGATTCTAATTGACTCAAAATTAAATATAATCTTATCCTGACTTCTAGGATCATTGTGTTCTCTCTCTCTCTCTCTCTCTCTCTCTCTCTCTCTCTCTCTCTCTCTCTCTCTGGATGTACACACACACACACACACACACACACACACACACACACACACACACGAATCACTTTTACCTATTTTAGCTTCTAAATTTAGTTCCTAAGTGAAAAAGCACATACAAACTTAGCTTTAAAGGTATAGTAAACTTTTTCTTTCCCTTTTTCTTACTACTTTTTTCAGAGCATCTGTAGAAGAATTATAAAATACTTTCATTGAAATACACCTAAATCATCCAACTACCCATTGGAAGCCTATATCACTATTAAATTGTCATCCACTCTATCTCTACTTCAGTACCTGCAGGGATGGATATTCCAGTACATTTTGGGACTTCTCTTACCATTACAAGCCTCTTCCTTACATTGAACTAAAGTATGGTCTGTCTGTGACAACTACCAATCAGTTTCAATTTTACCCTTTGGGTTGTATCATAATAACGCCTACCTTTTGAAGACCATTTGTTGTTTAAAAATGTATTCATACATTCTTATTTTCCTACCACAGAGGTAGCTTTCAAACAGAGACAGCCATATTTTCTCAGGGCCTTGTGACTTGCTTTACTGTGGATTCCCTTAACCTGTATTGTTCTGTATTGTTCTCTGTATCCCATTCTTCTCTTTCCTGGTTTATTTCTTTCTTTACTGGATCATATTTTCTCACAGCTTTCTGAGTTAGAACATTTTTCAAGATACTTCATGTCTAATCGTGTGTTCTTTATTCTTTCACATTTGAGAATTTGGGAACAATTGTCTTCAGACTTTGAAGGCATGGTTTCATTGATTCTATTCAGTATTGCTGGTGAGAGATCTGAAACCATTTTAAAACTTAATCTTTTGTAAATGATCTCTTTTTACCCGCTTCCTGGAGTATAGGATCTTTTCTTTGTCCACAGTGCCCTTTGTCCAATGGTACTTTGGTGTAAGTTTCATTTCATTAATTGTGCTGGGCACTTATGATCTGTAAGCTCAAGGCCTTCATTTCTTGGCTCTTTTCTAACTTCTGGAAAATCACCTCATCCTCAGCTGTACATTTCTACCTGTGGGGAGTAAGATGACCTGTGTTGTCTGGTTGGTCCATAGCAGGCATCAATATTAGAGGGGTCTGGTGATAGCCAGTGGGGTCAGCCACCATCTCACGGGGTGCCCATTGATCCTTCTCTTCCTACAGAAGGGTACAAACTCCTGTGTGTCTTACTCCCTATACTGTACTATTAACTTTTCCCTTGATATATTATGTATTTGAGTTATAGAAGCCAGTTGTTTGGCACCGGTGAATAATAAAAGAGTAATTGGCAGAGTCTCTGGAAACAATAATTACATTTTGACCAAATAGCTGTCAAATAGTAGCAGAACAGAGAGTTTCCCCTGGGATGGCAATATTTCTTTTTTACACATCATACGGTTTTATTTAAATGGAACGTGACTCTCCACTCTCGGAAGTAAACAAATACCCATCCATTCCTGAAAACTGGAAATATTTTTCTTAAGATTATGATAGAATGAACTTTCTAGGCTGCTTTGTGCTGGGAACAAAAGTACACACCTTTCCCTTCCTCTGATCCTAATTCGCAGAAAAAGGCTTAGGTGCAGTGGATCTTTCTAAGATTTTGTGTTTGGTGTTCAGCATTGTGCAGGTAAATGCAGTGTGGGTGGTAGACTGGGCTTTGGAGCCTCAGCTCTTCACCTAGTTTTGACCTTGAAAGTTAACGCTTCTGAGCCTTAGCTTCCTCTTCTGTGAAGTTAGCAGGGTTGTAGTGAGGAGAAAGTTAAGAATGACATTATACAGAGTGCCATATAGAGGGCCGGGCACTTTTTTAGGCACTCATTACTTATTTGTACCAAAACTGAAGTTTGCTAGAATCCTTCTTTTGCTTTCTTGGGCATTAACTGTATCCTAGAATGCTATAATTTCAGTTCAGTGAATAGTTGACCTAAATCTAGAGCCATTTATATGTGGTATTATTTTTGAAGCTTTTTATTTAATCAATGGGTATGAGTATAATGTAGCCCAGCTTTTAAAAAATGTGTATAATTTTGAATACTCTTAAAGGTAGCATGCCTTTTAGGTAAATTTTATTTAGAAATATAACCAAGCCATTTAAAGGTTGGTAAATGAGTTGGAAGGTAAAGTTGATTGTTAATCCTCACTTTCATCTACAAAGTATAACAAAGTAACTGGAAAGCATGTTCTTATTGGCTAGTTCACTTATTCTAATAATTATAAGATATATTAGAAGGAATTTTATAACTACTTTTAAGAACTGGTTCTATATAAAACTACCTTTTGGGGGTTATATATTACTTTTTAAATTCCATTCAATATGATGAACAGTGAATATTACATTGTTCAGCTGTGAATATTCCATTTTATATTTATAATCTTATTTATGTGTATATATTTTATATTTTTAAATAAGTTTACTTTAAAAAGTTCCTCAAATTTTGTGGATAAGTGAATTAGTTTGCATTGTTATCCTTAGGTTAATTTTATTTTTGTTCTCATCCCCGTCAGATGGATAGTGGCTATAACACACAGAATTGTGGAAGCAATATTATGGATACGGTTGGGGCAGAAAGTTACTGCAGAGAGGGTGATGCACAAACCTTGGAGGTCGAGAATAAATGTCAAGTTTTTAATACAAAGGTATGGGAAAACAGTTTAATAACATTTGTAGGTTATAAGACTTTTTTGGGTCTATTTTCTCCATTTTGCTTAAAGTTTTTATTATCATGTTTATGCCTCATCCCGTCTTCAAGTGATTAAACAACAGGAGGTGGTTTTTGAGTACAAGAGGTTGGAGAGGGAGAGCTAGCCCTTCTTTAGAATTGGTACTTGAAATCAGTTCCTTAAAACTAAAGAGGAATAGGTATTGGGGGTACCAGAGAGAAGAGTCAGAGGTTTTTGCCTCAAATATTGTCTAAACGCTAAACATAAAAAAGAACTTTTATTATTAGAGAGGAAAATAGTACAATTGAGAGACTATAATACACATCAAATTCACACACAAAAGGCTCTTAAAATCCAAAGCCTTTATAGATTTTGGATACTGAATAACATGAACCTTACATACTGAATATTTACACAAATATATACTGTCGATGAAGACATTTACTGAACCTAAATAGGATGGTTTTAACTGTATGTTCCTATTTCAAGAAACCCAACATAAATTTAGGCGCTAATTGGAATTTTTTATATGCCAATTTATTAATAAACATAGTAAACATCAGCAAGTGCACTACTAAATATAACTCTCCAAATATTAATTCATATGGAGGCCACTTATTTTCCCTCTCCATTTTGTCATGAGGTGGGACTATAGTTGTCCACTTAAAAGTGAACTGCATATTCAGGTACAGGAAGTACTTACTGATACAAAATATTGATTTGAAAAAAACCCTATCTTCTCTGTCCCTTTAGAATCTGCATTTAAGTTTTAAAAAGTCTCAATAGTTGCACTCTTGAATGGTCTATTTAAGTTGAAAATAAGGCATTTTCTTCTTTCATAGCAAGACCATACAACACAGAGGTGTTGGATGAAGACAGCAAATCGTCCTCAGTGCAGCAGTCTATAGAGTTACCTCTTTCAGAACCAAAGACTACCTACCGCTGAGCAGCAGCTCGCCTACGGGACCGTAGTTGGGGAAAACCTGCTTCACCTAACATGCTTCGCTGTTTCCCTCCTTAATGTGAAGAATCAAGGGCTTAATTTAGGGACGTAGAAACAACAGAAAAGCTCCTGGAACTGTCAACATGTTGCTGAAGTACAAGTTTATTTTTTATCAATAAATATTTTTGTACTTACCTTGAGTGATGTGTTTAACAAAAAATTTGAGTGATGACTTTTCTCCTACCTACAGGGTCGGTGAACTGCGAATTAGTAAGCCTGACTGACAGCACTGAATTGAGTTCTGAGCATGTGCAACTGTGGAAGTACTGTTTTATTTTACATAAAAATGTGATTATATAAATGAATTTAAATTTCTAACCTATGTAAAAGAAGTAAATTTGATTTAGATATAAAACAAATTTACTTAATTGAAGAGGTAGGAGGGGAGGTTAAGTAGGCTTCCAAAAATATTCATTCTTAAACTATTTATTCATTTCTGTGTAGATATTCTTACGGCCAGTAATAACTGGCCTAGTTCTACTTTAAAAAGTATAAATACTAGAAAGGTAGTATTAACAGCATCTTAATATTATGTATCATTTTTATTAGTGGGATAAATGCAGGATGCCCAGAATCTTAGCTCCATCCCTAGGGTGAGACATCTTTTCCAGCTCAGATTTGGCCAGGGAGAAAAATAAGACAAATAGGACAGGGGAGCTCCTACAGGGCTTTAGACTGTGAAGTGACGGCTGGGCAGACTTAATTTATTTTAAAAGTTATATTCGTGTTGCGAGTAGAATGGGTATGAGTTTGTGGGGATATTCTTTATCTTTGGAGAATGTGTATTTACAGATCACCTTTTAAAAATTCATAAAGTGATAATTCACATGGAGCCCTAGGAAATAAAGACATAACTATTATTGCCATTTTTTCCTTACTGTTTTTTTGCACCTGTAAGCTTACTGCTAACCTCTAAAAAATGTTCCTTACTGTGTACCTGGTTCATCCTCTCCCAGCCAGTAGGTCTACTGTTAAAGACACTATGTTAAGAAGTTGAGTCCTTAATCACAGAGGCTTTGGAATCAATATTAACTTAAGACAACTGTAAATAAAGAAGAGTTCTAGATCCTGGGGTAGGAGCTTCCCTGGCTATTTTTTAATAGCAGAAGTCAAGAAACATAGTAGTGACTATAATTGATTCACACACCTGCTTTGTTAACTACTCGATCTGAGCCACAAATCCTCAATCTTCTCATCTGTTAAATGGGGACAGTAATCCTAACCCAAGGGAGCTTTTCAAGTGAAATATTCAATCTAAGCTGCTTAGCATAAGACCCTGCACTAGAGAAGCATTTTAGATTTATCAAAGCAGAGGCCTTAAAAGCATGAAAATAAGGTTTCTGGTCATCTTGAACTAATGCCTGAATTAGGCCTTCCTTATAAATGAGGCACAAGAAAACAAACTTGCAAAGATAAACAGACAAGGTCAGCCACAGCCTTGTTTCACCAAAAAGTCTCCCTTTTCCTTGCAAATTGGCCTGTGGGCAAAGTTTTTTGTTGGGGTGGAGGTGGTGTAAATCAAATGAGTGTATTTTATGACACATGAAATTGGTAACATTTAAATTCCTGTGTCCATAAATAAGGTTTTGTTGGAAGCTCACTATGCCCATTTGTTTGCGTACTGTCTACAGCTGTTTTACACTGTAAGAGCAGAACAGTTGAGTACTGAGGCTGTGACAGACTGTACAGCTGGCAGAGCCTCCAATGTCTAGCTAGCCCTTTCCAGACTTGCTGACTCCTGCTCTTAATTCACGTGTTAGTCCATTACTGTATGGACCCAAAATGACTCAAAGCTATTTTCCTTCATCTAAAATAATTTCTGCCTCAATGTATGGATGTTTTCCTCAGTAACAGAAAAATGGAAGGACAATCATTTAATAATTATTAAGTGCCTAAAAGTACACACTAATGATTCGCACTTAGTATACCTGCTGATATATTTACCACTCTTCTCATTGTATCACAAGCTCCTTTAAGGCAGAGATAGTTGACTTGACTGGGATAAGCCTGGTACACTGTAGGTACTTTAGAAATTGAATAAGTAAAATAAAATGTTTTAAGGTAACTATCTCAAAATACTTGAAAATGCCAATTTAATCATTATTCATCTTTGTGGTTAATGAGGAAGTAGTCACTGGCACACCAAATTTTAATACTTCAATCTGCTCCCTTCAATATGTACTTATACAACCCCCCTTTCTTACATAATTGATACATATGTGGTTTAAAAGCCATTAATTTACCTACTTTTTATTTTACAAGTAGCATGATGTGACATTTAAAGTGGCATCCATCTCTATTCTTTGAACCCTAATGCCTTACTTTGGGGGAGATATTTGAGGTGAAGGTCAAGGATGATGACCATACTTATTACCAGGTAAAACTATTTTTCCAGTCAGATCAAAATATCCTACATCTTGCCTTCCTACAACATTCAGTTCCCAAACATTCACAGCTGTTGAAGGATCACTAAGAAAATGCCGGAGAGTTTTTAACAGAACAACACATGTAAGGTAAATTAAAGGTGGCAAAGGAAATTAAATACGGAACTCCCTGACATCTTGACTTCACTGTCTTGAAATCTAAAAACTGCCATACCAAACAGCTTTCAAGATTTAGAAACAACAGATTGTTCCTTGCTTCTAAAAATGTTCTATTTTTCTCCATAGAAAAATGGTAGATTTTTTCTATCAATATGAAATAAATTATACAAAATTAATCTGCTCTTTAATAAGCAGATGAATGCACCCTTTAAATGATTTTTAGAGATCCCTGAATTTACTATCCTGTCACTATTTCAGTAATGGATGTTGACTTGAATTTTTCTGCATAAATAGTTCTGTTCAATCCAGAAATGAAGTATGATGGGATAGACACAGTCAACAGTTCAATAAAAATGCAAATTTTTCAAATTATTAAAATGTACTTAAAAGTAACAAACTATTTCACACATTTCTTAGATTTAGAAGTGTTCTCTCAAGTTTCTTGTTTCCCTGAAGGAAACCAATCCTTGAAGTTTTTTTTTTTGTCGACTATAGCTATTTTTCAAGCTTCTTCTTCTTGCTCTCTGGTTCATTAATGTCCATGTTTGAAGTATCAGTAGGAATGCTTATTCCTGGTATCTAAAATAATGCAAATGGAGAAAAATAAGGTGAGTAAAACCACAAATACGGACTAAATCTCATTCTCACCTTCGCCTTCCCCACTGACACTTCCATGTTCAAAAGGACGTAGGAGTAGATGGGGAAAATGGGGTTAGAAAAGGTTTTCCACATACAGTATATATTTCACACACAAAGTAAGGGTGGTTAAAAAATGTAAAAGGCAGACATGATTCTCAATAGGTGAGAAGCATGTCATTTGAGAACTGTTTATAACACATCCAATTATATTAGCCAAGCCACTGTGACTATCAGCATCAGAGGCTGTGCTGGGGCAAAACAAAGGTTAAGAACCAATGTCCTAGGTGAAACACTTTATCTTAAACTTCAGAAGTGCATCTTTCAAAACAAAAGTGAAAAAGGACCAAAGGGAGGATCTCAAAGAGCTCTGCTTTTGGTACCAGTGACCTCAGAAGAATTCTAAGTAGCTAAGATCCCACGCCTTAGGGCAATCAGTAAGAAAATAGGAACTAATATTGCAATATCTGTCCTCCACACTACTTCCAGAAGTCCCTCTATCATTAAATGGAAATAACTTATGACTATATCCATCTTTCACAAAATATAGTCCATTACAACACAGACAGTGTAAGTTCGGTCTTACCTGTGGTTCTACCAGGGACATTCGGATTTTCTGATGCTGAAGATTAGTTGAGTCTAACATGATTTTCACTTTAACTTTATCAAATATATGGAACACAGTATCTTCTATTTTAAGTGAAGGTATCTAAACAAAATACATTTTACTATTTTTCATTACTTTCATACACTTAAAGCTTTAATTCTTCATAGTTTACCTTTCATATTAACTTAAAAGCTTAAATTTAAAAATTACTTCAATATTTAATAAGCACATCTAGGTGTTCAATGTAACAAAAACCACTGATCTGTCTCATATAAATATGAGCTATTTCTGTGCACACTTTCTCCTTTCATTAAGATGGTCCCAATATATATTGAACTTCAGGATTTTGACCCCATTAATTAGCAAATTATTGGTCCAGTAGAGGAGCGCAGAGGTACTGCAGGCAGTTTACTGCTTCATAGTTCACTTAAAAGGGAAGAAGTAGGTTAGGGAAGTAGGGGGCGTGTCAAATAAGAGACACGGGAAATAGGAAAATTCCCTTCCTTGAGCTGTAAGCAGCCACTTATTCCTTTACATTAGCCCGTCCCTCTACCTAGGGCAAAGTGTAATTCAAGTTTTCCTTAGGGGGGAAACTTTACATGGTATAAAAGAAAAAAATCAAGGTCAATATTTTTATGTGGAAAGATATGCTGAAGTGAGAAACTGAATACACGGCAAGCTTAGGTGACATAATTAAATTTTGTAGGGTACAAAAAACAATTTGACCCTTTATAGGTACAATCTGTAACCTATCAAGGAAAAAGCGCCTCTCCCCCTGCCACAAATAAAACATCAGAAATACTGTACCTCATCATCGTAAGTGAGCCGTGGCTGTGGTTTGTCCTTTTCTTCGAAAAAGACTGTGCCTTCTAAACCGTACTTTGGAATCAACACCACGATAGCGTTCTTTCTTACAAATAGGATGTAGGCTTCTTCACTTACTATGCCTTTGCTTTTAAAAAATAACTGTAAAATAACATACAACCTTATTATGAATTGTCTTAAATACTCTGAAATTATCCAAAAAGAAAAGAAATTACATAAAAAATTAACTAAACTTCATCTCTCCTCACATTATCGACAGAAAGCAAGTACCTGGGTGTGAAAAGCCACTGATGCACGTTGGGCATATTGAGCCATTTTGTGCCGGAAATTGAGATTTTTACATAAATCTGCAAGTTTGTGTTTGTCAGTCAACTCTGGGTAAGTACAGTCAGCCCCAATAGCCACAGCCAACAACCGGTGAACAATGATGTCCGCATATCTAGATATATAAGAGAGAAGTGAGAATCATGCTACGTTAGCATTAAAATATCTTTTTAAAATTCAAAATTAACTATTTTCTATTTCATTTCATAAGGAAAAAAGTACCTTCTGATGGGTGAAGTGAAATGTGTGTATATTGGGGATGCTAAGCCGTAGTGATGAAAATCATTATCCATTCCAGAGCAGAAGTACACAGCTTGCATCATGCAGCGAGTGGCTAATATTCTTAACAGAGTGTTTAGATATGGGAAAGTAGGACAATCGGCCCGGTCCAAAGAGTCAGCCAAAGACTTGGCTGTATCAGTTTTAATTTCTACAGAAATGGCCAACTTCAAAAATATCATACGGGGATACTTAAACATTTCAGAATCAGTACCATCATGTCTTCAAAATATAATGGATCAGATTGAACAAACATGTCATTGCTGACCAGACAATAGTGCTTATCTTCTACTTTTAAACTAGGAAAACTAAAATTATAAAAAGCAATGATTGTTTTGTCTAACATTAGAACTTAACACTTTCTGAATGTAATGAAAGGTACTAAGCTCATCAGCATTCTGAAGAAAAGATAGTGGTGGCAGCGGTGCTATCTCTCAAAGTCCAACGTGTGCTTGCCTAATTTTTGTTAGAGTAGAAAAAAAAAAATCAAAGTAGCTTTGAATACTTTCCAGCTTGTCTAGATTTTCTCTGCAGGTATTTTCATTCCATTCAGAGTAGAAGTAAAGGCCAGAGACAAAATAAAAGTGTATCTGGTCTCTACAGCTCAATACTGTGATACATCAAACTTAGCTGCTTTATTCTGCTTGGGGAAATGAGGCAAAAATACTTAAATCCTCCTTCCTCTACCCAGGTCTTAGGAAGAAATAAGACAGTAAGAGAAAATTCCCCAATTTATAGCATAAGCCCTATTGGAGCAAAAGAGAAGCTGACTCGGTTCTTACAGATATGACAGGGGTAGCTCACCATAAAGGTCTGAAACATCAGAAACTAACACCATCCTGTTAGAATAATGCCCTGAGCGCTAAAACTACTCCCTCCACCTTAGCCAGTCACCTTAAGAGTAAGGGTAATTATGCCTAAATGAGTCCACTACCCAGAGGCAGGGAGGTATGTGGGGCTGAGGAAATGGTGCCCTTTCTATAATTTTCCTTTTTTCCCTGTAGGTAATACATGGACTTACTTCTTAGGAACACGATATAAAGAGGGCTTAACTGAGTTGAAGATAAAGAGAAAAAAAATTATTTGTAAATCTCTGAAGTTGGGCAGTTCAGAGGAGGCATGAAGGAACACAGGCATAAAGAATATGTATAAAGGCAGAGAGAGATGAAAAGATCTTAATGTGCCCAGGATATGGCAAATAACTTAAGTCTATACAAATGTATCGCTGTACACCATAAATTTACACAATGTTATACGTGAAATATATATCGGTAATAAAAAGGAAGAGAACTACTGGCATATTTTTGCATCAAATGACAAAAAAACTTTTATAGAGATGTGAATATAGATTTATTATTTAGAGCAATGAATAGGTCAAAACACAAATACAGATACCATTTCAAACTACAGGGCTTTACCTTGGATTTAGCTGCCTTAACAAGAATTTCATAATTTGATGGAGGAGGAGCAGGATGTTTTCGAAGCAGAGCATGTTCAGAAAATTCTTCATGAATTTTTTTTGCAACAGAGATATTGGCAAGTAACATAAATTCTTCCACCATAGAATTTGTTTCTCTGCCAATGAAAAATCATTAAATAAGAAAAGAGAATCTGACATCTATATACCGTATTTATTCACAGGTTAACTTTTCTACCTACAAGACAGTGAAAGTATTTCTTAAGTAAACATTCATGTGTGTGTGCACATGTATATTTTGAATATATAACTTAAGGCTCTTGTTTCTCAGCTATTATGTTAACAATCTCTTATTACACATCTACTATGTGAGTCAATCTTGTGCTAGAGACTCTACAAATTACACTAAAAAAATAAAAGTTTTACTAACTCTAGTAATATATAAAATCTAAATCATAAACATTTTTACCTCCTTTTACTGAGTCCAAATAAAAATATTTTTATTTAACTATATATCCATAGAAATAAAGTTTACTAAGAATTAAAAGTTTAGTTCATACAAATTTTGGTTTAATAAATAAAACTTTCACCAATAGATCACCAAAATAAAGACACTGTATCTCCAACAGCTACTTGGGGTGCTTATTATGAACCAGGCATTGTGCTGTGCTATATAGGAGTGTATGTATGTGTTTATATATACACATACACACACATACGCCCTGCTTTTCAGATGAGAAAACTGAGCATGTGTACCATTATTCCTGCTCAAGGTCACAGTTATTAGTAGTAACAGGATCCAAGTCTACATATCTTGACTTCAAAACTCTTAACCAATCTGATGTTTTTCATTCTAAATAGTTATCTATGTCCATTTAAAACTTAAGTTTAATAAATGATCTACCTTCTGTTTACACAGTGCTTTCTTTCTCTCAAGTCACTGAACATGCATTAATCTTTCATTTGTTTCCATCTAAAAACTTTTAATTTCACAAGATTCCTACAGCATGTTAATTTTTACAATATTATTAATGCCTCCTAGCATACCTTTAAAACTATAGAGACAACTTCTTAGAACTAAGTTTTTTTCTAACTGGTAGGAAGAAATGGGTGATGTTCCATTTTGGTAAAGCTGGATTCAATTTTTTCCTCGAAAAAGCTTGTAGTGTTAGGCTCATTGTTCCTAATAACATTAGACTTATTTGCACAGAAGTCCCAACTAAAATATTTTTTAAATTTTAGCTCTAATGCTATAAAGTACACACTGGTCCTAACTAACAAACTTGAGTATGCTCTTATTTCTAATCCTCAATCATCAACTAGAAAAGTATAAATGCAAATTTAATTACGAAATTACCTTATATAAGATGCATGGAAAAGAGGCCTAACTCTGATTTAACCAAAAATTCCTCGCTTCCTAAATCTTAATTAAATCAATAAAACAATAACAATAGCTGAGTACATCACCTGAAAACTCTTCGCAACACTCTATGACGTAAGAACTATTTATTAGTCACAAATAAACCTGTCTAGAGTTACGCAGGCAGAAGTGGGATCTAAACCTAGGCAGTCTGGCTTTGAAGCCCTGTGATTATTACTTTATCCTACCACAGTACATTCTACATAAAATACTTACGAAATTAATCAGAGCAATCTTCTTTTACTTACAGTAACTATTACTAGTCAAGTTCTAATATACCACACACCAATTTGAGATAAACCAATTCAAATTGGAAATTTTTCTACTATACTAATCCCAGTTTTATGTAAGAAAAACTTAAAAGTGAGATGTTTACTTTTCTATACAATTCATGTCAAAAAAAAATAAATTATAACCCTGCCAGAAAGAGACATTTGGGGTATAAATGTTTTGTTTACTAACAAAGCAGATGTTATATTTAAAATCAAAATCTTACTTATTGCCCATCAAAAAAAATTACATACCTAAGTTCCTTGGTCTGTAAATCTATAGGATCATGAGTTTCACTGTCCATGTGAAACCGAACTTCCGGAGAAGATAGAGTCAAAGCCCTAAATAAAAATTAAAGAGGTGAATTACCCAAGTGAGCCAATAACAGAAATAATTCCGGAAGTGATTCTTTTAAAACAGAAAATGATTACAGCAAGTGTGTAACGATTATTCTTCTGAAGGCTTTATGACCATCTGCTAAGTTTTATGTTCTATTCCCGTGGATAGTTTATTTTATAGATCGAAAATGCACTTAACAAGAGAGCACAATGGCAACACAACAAAATACAAGTTCTTCTTCTGAGGGTCTGAATATCTTTTGTACCCAAGATATGAGTTTTTACTAAGCTACATGGGTTTGTAATCACTTTTACAATTAAAGATACTGGCAGCATTTTATGTACCACAGAAAACCATATATTGACGTGAGAGATGATGGAGAGAGGCAAAAAGCAAACCGCTACAGGTAGATCAGTGACATTAGAAGATACACACTTCAAAATCATTTCCTACACAGACGAAATCAATGGAAGAAACTGATAAATATTAGTATGTTGCATATACTGATAGCTATCAATATCTGAGTGCTATGTGTCAGATAACATATTATGCTAAGTACTTTACATACATGGTTTGTTTAATGACTTGGCAAGTTCTCCTTTGAAAAGTAGTCCCACAAAGCAAGGGAAGTCTAATGTTTCATCATACCTTGATGCTACTTGCATCAGGGGAGGAACAAATCAACCTAAAACGTAAATTTTAATGAGGCTGGGTAACCTTGTACAATCATAGGAGAAAAAAAATGAGATGAGACCAGTTAACTGAAATTCAAGTCCTTTTCTTCCTTAACTCACTTTTATTAGAAGAGCTACAAAAGGAATACTAGAGAGGAAATCTCAACAAATAATCCTTTCCTGCCATGCAGTATTTACAAGGTTCTGCATCAGATCTAACATGTGTTTACTAATATGTCTTGGCTTAAAAAGCAAGGTATATGAATCACATTATGATCATTTTTCCTTCATAGAACACTAACCATTACATAACATAATTATGTCTATTCTTTAAAAGAGACATGATTTAAGCTAAGACAGAACATAACCTTTATGAAGGCAAAAAATATCATTTTGTTTTTACTGATTGTTTTCGCAATTCTCCCTGAGACTAAGATTCAATGATAGCTTTTAACAGATGACCTTCTATTTACAAGATTAAAGACTGTTTTTGAAGATGAAAAATATCTTTTCTATCCTAATTATGAGAAGTGATGTTACCAATGCAAGTTTCTAACTGTTTTACTTTAAAACCACCAAAATGAATAAGATTTCAATTTGTTTTACTGTTTGCTTTTAAAACATATTTTCTAAAAATTACCTTTATGTAACCTTTCTTCTGATGCCCAGCATATTGTAAACCTTCAATAAACAAATATTTGCTGAATAACATTTTGTGTCCTTAAAAAAAATCTACAGCTCTCTTACTTACATCTAAATGACAAGCTTAAGCAACAGTCTTACTGGGATTTACTGCACCCCAACTATCCTTACACAGTTTTGAATTTCATACTTAGGATCTTAGAAAACTTCCCAAAAAACGGAGGAGTGAGTAGAGATAGGGGTGGCTCATCACAGCTATCTAGAACACTGTCCAATAGAACT